TCGCCGCCTGCAGAAAGGCTGCAATGCCAAGTGCCAAGATTTTTCTCTTTCACACATACACAAAATGTTGTAAAAATCTGTGTTTGCTTTCTACCAGTTTAAAAAAAAAAAAGGAAACACTTTCAAAGTGGAGAACAGAAAGTTTTCTCTAGCACAAGTTCATATGCTACAAACTGAAGCACAGAGGTTTTTCCTTCTTACTAGCTACAACCTCATAACCAGTATACCTGCTACCAGCTATTTGCAGCAGTAAGTGGACATTCTCCTATCAGGGTATTTCTTTGCCCAGAGCTGAAGTCACAGCTGGTGAGCAGAAATCTGCCAGAGGCTCGTACCCTCTCTAATGGTGCAGGCAGCAGCTTTGCCTGTCACTTTGTTCAGGCCCTCATCAGTGCTTGGAGCTGCGGTGCCCTTGAGCTGTACCCAGCCGTGGGTGGTCAGGGGTCCCAGTGTAATCCCTCAGCCCACCACTGCCGCTCAGTCTGGGAGATGAGCCCACAGCTCGGGGCGCCTGCTCTCCAGGGACACAAGACCTCCCTTCCCACACCAGCAAGCATCTGCGAAGCCTAAGCTGGATGCTTTGGAAGCAATTTTTGTACACCCCAGCCCTGGCCCCATTATGAAAGCATTGAATTAAGAGTTTCATGGTCTTATTAAATTAATCCCCTTCAGGAAAAAAGAAAAAGCTGTGTATAGCAGAGATTTTTCTTTGCATTTTGATGTTATCCTACTTGGATTGCAAAGTCTTGCCTGACATAGGCTAAGGTGTTTCTGCTCTGGATCTGTCTGGTACTGGAGGTCATAAAAAGTTGTAAAGACTTTGCCAGCAAGCTCTTCTGGGAACATAAATTGCCCGTGCACACCTTGCAGGTACTGTTTTTTGCTTGGGGGCCTGCAGATGGCAGGGCCGCTTTGCCCAGACCAGCACCTCCCCCCTGACTTCTCATGAGCTCTGGTCTTCTCCAGGCCACTTAAGGTTTAGCATATGGGTTTTGTTTTTTCCCTGTGGTCTTTCTTTTCAAAGTAGGGCAGATGAGGCCCAGCAGGGGAAGAGCAGAGCAGGGCATATATCAGAGCATGCAGAGCTGAGCCCTCAGGATGCTCTGCTCATAGCAGGCTGGGCTCAGTCCTTGGGGATGGCAACACCATGATACCTGCTCTGGAGCAGGAATACAGTGCTGGTGTCCTTCTCTCTTCCTTCTCATGGCAGGCAGCATGAGCAGAGCATTTCCCAGGGCAAGTCATCCAGCAGGTCTCCAGGGAGTTTGGAAGTGGGGTCAGGAGCTCATAAACGAGCAGGTCTGGGTCAGCATTTAAGCAGCTCTTCAAGCAACAGAATAGCAGAGGAAAGACATTGTGGGGAGGGAAGGAAGGGGAGGGAGGGAACTGCATGTCTCTCTTGGGCTGTTAAAACCTACCTACCTTAGGTGTGTGCAGCTGTTTGCATGGACGAACTTAACTTTTCCCCAGCCTTTATAGCCCCACGGCAGCCTGTGCTTGCATCTACCTCCTGGCTCCTGTCACTTCCCAGGTAGTGGGGACATCATGGTGGGGCATGAGAGGAAAGGTCTCCCCGTAGCAGCAAGGCATGCATGTAATCAGAGAGAGTACAGTAGATTTAGCTAAATGCATGTACTTATGTTCGTCATCAGGTGGATACCACATGGGTACAGATTATGGCACCTTTGCTGTGTTGACTAATATACATATATATTATTGTATATTAGTGTATATGAGATAAAACTGATTTGCTCAGTGCAGAGACAGTTTACATCTGTTTTGTTACCTGATGCACCAGGTATAGCACTGCGCATCTGCCACACACTGCCTGTTTTTTTAAAAAAAAGATCATTGAGTATCTCAGAAGAGCATTTTCTCTTGTAGATTTAGACACAGCTGGTGCCTGTATGATATATCATGCCTACTGGTGATCCTGTGCACTCTCCCTGCAGTCAGTGAAAGACCACCAAAGAAAGAAGAGGTCATTACTGTCGCAAATGCTAGAGGAGCACACGCTCTGGTTTCCAAATCTCACATACAGTCAATGTGGGGTGCACAGCACTCAGCATTACTGTGCTGTTGTTGTGGATGGCCAAGTGGCTGCGTGTTTTGTTGTTTCTTTTTTTTTTTTTTTTTTTTTTTTTTTTTTAATTTCATCTTTGTTTTGCATAGATTCATTTGAATGCTGACAGAAGTGCCTGGAGACATGGGAATGTGCTTTAGACAAAGCCAATGCTGTAAGAAGTGTAGTGTCCAAGTAAGCTGTAGCACGCAGACTTGCAAATGCTTTTGCTGGCTTTCTTCCAGAAGGATACAGCAGTTATCATATTCCTGGGAACTATACCCTCTTTGTTTTCCTCTGTTGCTTGAGGAAGGGGTGCTTTTTAGTACATTTGCAGTGAGTTTAAATAATGACATCTGTATGCTGAAATTGCTTTTTGCCCTGTTTCTACTTTTGAAACTCTTAAGATAATGTTTGATTACAGAGGAAAGATGCAGTAATGGAAGCAGTAATAAATTCAGTGTGTTATGGTGACTGTCTAACACCATATTGCTATTTTGATAGTCATTAAAAAGGAGATCACCAAAGGTAATTTTCTCAGGCTGGAGAAAATCAGTTACAACAGGAGATGTAAAGAACTGGGGTTGTACAGGTCACCCAAAAGAAATTTGAGAAGTGGCCTTAATTCTGTGTACTGGTGTCTTTGGTGGGGGAAGAAATACCAGCTATTGCAGGGCTTTTTAATCTAGTGAGCAAAGCACAGAATAGCCATGGTTGAGGATTAACAAAGGTCAAAAATAAAATTAGAGACCAGTCATACTTTTTGAACAGTGTTTACCAATGATAAATGCTGGGATGAGCAGCCCAAGGAAGAGATTGATTAGTTGGTTATTGACATCTTCCAAGGAGATCCGGGGTCTTGCTGGGACTTCAGGAAAGTGGATATGGATGGCTCCAGACAGCATGAAATGGTCATGGCTTTTCATCTGTCTGCTCATCTGATCTTCCTTTCTCACCCTGTGAACCAGGGATATCTGCAGTGAAAATTGATGCCTTATAGTCTTCTAGGCCTCTTTTTCAATATATAAAAAAGAGAGTTGGAGTCCATAGAAGAATGAACTTGTCTGATGTGGAGATCAGAAGAATACCGTCCTCTGTATTAGTGCACACTGTTAATTAAATTTCCCGACAATGTTACAAAGAACAATCTCTGTTCTGTTCCTTAAAGAGGTGGGCAAACTGACAGCAGACCTTAAATCCTGTAGGGAGGTCACATCGGTAGCAGCCTAGAGCTCATTGTTTTTATATGAAGACTACACTATACATCATACAAATACGTGACCTAACATCTTCAGCACTGACCTGCAGGTTTCCCAGGCTGGCACCAGTTGCCTGCCTGCAATTTAGCAGGTTGGTATATGCTCAGGAGTATGTGGACTTCAAGAAGCTGAAGAGACAGGGTTGTCCTCTACGTAGGAAGGCTGCATTTTTGATGCACTATGAAGGCTTCCTTCCAGCTCTTTTGAGACTTACAGTGAAGAAAGTACTTGGAAGCCTAAAGAGGACAGATTACTGCCCATCCAATCCACCACTTCTCCTATATTAAACCTGTTTTGTTTAATATGTTAAATTGTGCCTGCCACAAATTGGGACTGCTTTTCTCTGCTGGGGAAGGAGGAAATGTTTTGCATAATTGAAATACTTCATAGTAGGGAGGGAGAGTTCAAAATCCATTTCAAGGTCACATGTACTTAAACTATAGAGTCCTCTGCTCAAAATTACACCTTTTCAAAGCAACCATGCCAAAATTATTTCAGTTCTGATCACCACACTCAGTCTCACAATCATCAAAGCCTGTTATCTGGATCCTTGCAATATCGTGACTCACCAGCTAATGACGACAGTGTCTCACACATGCATCAGTTGTTTTTTAAGATATGGAAAACATGAACTCCCAGTACAACTTAGCCTTCAACATTTCTTTTTCCAATTTTGGTATATTCACCTGCAGATTAACTTTTAAAATACGGTATTTTCTCTTCAGACAGTGACAAGAAGTTGAAGACATCTCTTGGCTATTACATACTAGTTTCTTGTAATATAAAGTTGTCCAAGGCCCCCAAGATGCAGTAAGAGGGCTGAAAATGTCTGATGAAATGATTGCCATCCACACAACCAAGAATAGAGTGTGCTTATTTAAAACAAACAAGCAAAAATGAAAAATAAAAATAATATGTAAATGCTTTAGTCTAGTTTTCACTTGTTTGTGGAAAAACAATGTGCCCTGTGGATAAAGGAGAGGGGAAATGCTAGTTTCCCAAACTTTATTCTTTGTCTCCAGATCGTGTTCTTATCCCTTGCTGTTCACAGACTGCTTCCCACAGCCCTCTGGGTCTGTGTGCTGGTGGGTACCTTAAAATGGCCTTAGGCTTTGCAGATGTTGCGTGTGTAGGAGCCAGGCATCAGCCAAACATGTGGCACCCGCACAGGCTGCTGCTGCCGTGATTTGTGTGTGTGGACTGGGTATGGCACGTTGAGCAGGCCACGGGGTGTGAGATTTGTTTCTTCTGGCCTCAGCTGTCTAAAAGCCAAGTGAATGATGTGATCTTTCTTTACAATTAATAGAGAGCAATATGCACCTCCAGAGGATAACTCCTCCTACATACCTTAGATGCCTATCTTAGAATGTCATGAATTGCTTTCTAGAGGTGCCTCTTCTCCTTCTTGACTGTGAAGGGAACACAGATGTCTGACAAGCTTCAGCAACTAACTTTTAGGTGATTGCACTGGGGGAGATAGAGAGCTACCTAGAGGACCTCAGTAAGAGGTAACAGAGTCAAGAAGATCCTATGAGTAGTTGGAAAGTAAGAGGTTCCTGAGTTCAAGTCAGGGCTTTTCAGCTGATATGCTGGATGATCCAGTGGTGGTGCTGGTGGAATCCTCCTTCTGCTGGAGAACACCAATCTGATTGTGCTGTTTTTTTTCTCCTCCCCTGAAGGTCGCCACTGTGAGGTCCATCAGATGATTGGAAACTATATGTGGGACCAAAAGACAAATGTATCTTTTGATATTGGTGTGAATAAAGAAAGCCTGCTGCCTCTCTGGTGGAATGGATCGGAGCCTTTGTGGGTCACAATGATGAAAGAAAAAAAGAACGTTTCCATGTACTACTGGCCAGGTTAGTATGTTGAAAATTGCTATCATTGTAACAGTGCATCTTTATATCGAAGCACTCCATCTGCTGTAGGATGGCTCTTTAATACAGTTCTGAAATACAGACAAGAAGTATGAGTACTTTACTAACCACTCATAGAAATTAATTATCTTTTCTTAGGCCATGACAATTTGCAAATGCTTAGAAAGGAAAAGACTGAAGTGTCACTGGAGGTAGCTTTCCACCAAACATTACTTTCAGGGGGGCACTGTCTTTCAGAGCATCCCCTCCTCCACCGAATTCTCAGTCCTCTTGCCCACCTGTAGCTTCTGCTGTGCTGAATGGTTGCCTCATGAATGGTTCATGGAGCAACACTGTAGAACATATCACTGATGAAAGTTAAACAGTAATCATACTCCTTCAACGTTTGGTTTTAACCTGGAAATTAGTAGCTGAGAGCTGGAGACAATCTTTTCTGTGGGGACAGCAAAATTCAGCTGAAAGCAAAGCATCCTTTGGTGAGCTGGAGTGAGCACTTTTGCCCTCCTTCATCACTAACTCAGCTGAGGTCCCAGTTGCTCTGAGTCTGAGCCATTCACTTTGAGGGACTTGGCCTTTCTGTTCCTCATCTGTTGCATATTGGACCAGTGAAATCACTAGGGATACATAATAACAAGTCTTTTTTAACAAACAGGAGTATACCCTTAGGCTGCCCATTTAGGGGCCCAAATGGAAATAAACGTTCCAGCTGTGCAGCCGGACCAAATCCCTTGCCAGGTAGCCAGCTTCTCAAATTTTTGACCTTGTAACTCTGCTACCTGAGCGGTATGCAAATATCCTCGTACGTGTAACTGTGGGCTAGAGGACCACACGTTGGAAGAGCTGTACTGAATGCAGCCGGTGCAGTGGGTAGGGCAGCGGCGGCTGACTCACGCCGCAGGCTCCTGGCCAGCTCGTCTTCTGCATCCCAATGCACGTGTGCCTGGTCACGCTCTCTCCATGCAAAGTGGCTAATGGCATCCCACAAAAAAGGCCACAGTTCCCAAGAAAGGGAAGAAAGAGCGAACCAAGATGAAAAACATTGAAAAGCCATCCAGAGTGTTTCTACAGTACTGAAGAGTGGAAAGATCTGAGGGTGGCAATATTGCCTTCTGCACCCAAAGGCAGTCCAAGGGACTGGAATTGTAGACTAGGTATAATGGTTTGGATCAGCCCTCAAAAAAAAGGTTGTTTTTATTGGAGATCACCCAAGTGACTTAACAGCAATGCAAATAGTAGGATATAGAAATTATACAAGAATGTAGAAATTCTTCTGAAGATTTACAAAAAAACCTGTTTCTATAGACTATTCATTTTTAACTACAAATGTAACTGCACTGAATAGGTATAATTATATACTGAATAGATGTAACAGTCTACAGAGAGCTACCAAAATCCAAAAGAGCAGTATCACTTTCCATTAAATGCCTTTGGACTTTACCTAGCTCCTTCATGTTTCTCTTTGAGCAGTGTCTCCCAGGGAAAAGATATATGAGGTGTATATGTATGTATCCCTATATACACATGTATACCCTTCACACTTAGCTGTCTACTATTTCTAGTGGAAAATTGCAAGGAACAATAGATCCTCCCTTTTCCCAGTGCTTGTGCTGCCAAGAGTGTGCAATGACTCTCTTACAACACAGAGGAGGAACTTTTTGCGTGGATCTGGTGTTTTAGCTGTGGACTGTGACACATACATCTCTCTGTCACTAATTATTTATCTGTGACAGATGACCTTTGGGAAAGTCATCAGTGCTCCAATTCAGCAAACACTTAAGCACATGCTTATTTTAAGGGTGTTCATGGTTAAAAGAAGTCACCCCACATGCCGTAGTATTTATTACATTTTCCCTATATGATTTTTTTGAACTGCTTTCTAGTTCCATAGTACAGATGTAATCCTCTCTAAAAAGTCTACATCTGTTATTTTAAAGCTTTAATTCTTAACAAGGCATTTGACTGGGGAGCGATGCTAAAGAACATGAGAGAAAAAAATGAGGGTTTAATAACCACAGTGGGTAGAGGTCCCACAGACATTTGCATTGCATATGACCTGCTATTAGTAATTAACTTTCCAGCCTGAGGATATACTGCTGCTTAGTAATGAATCTTGCAAATTTGATAAAGATCCGAACAGGAAACATTTGGGAAGCTCTTAATAGGGGCAGCAATGTACAGCCAAATTCATCACACTTTGTTCTGGAAGATGCTATTTTCTCTCTAGCCAGCAGTGAAGACAAACAAGACCGATCAAACATAGCAGAAATGCATTGTGAATGCCAGTGAGCTGATCCCCAGGGTTAACTTACACCGCTGCCATTTACTCCTCAGAGCCAGTTCCAAGCTCTGCAAAGTCTGAACACAAAATCTGACACTTCATATCCTTCCCTGTGTTCCTCTCTGCTGCATAGTCAGTGCTTAAAGGAAGAAAATCCAGAGCCCAGCAGAGGGATACAGAGCAGGAGGGCTGTCAGATGCAAACACCCATCCATCACAGCTTTACCTGTGAGCCCGACCCAAACACAGCAGAGACATCTCGTGGGCAGAATTCATCTGGACTCTCCTGCATCTAGAAGCAGAGGAGCCAAAATACCGCTGTGCCGGGGGTCCCAACAACCACTTCTGCCAAAGCACAAACAGTTGGCTTGCACGGACACCTCTCTCCTTTCTTCACGGTGTCTATTAGGCAGTTTCTGCTCTTCAAGACATTCCTGGGGAAAAAGCCACGTATCCTCTGACTGTTTGATTCCGAAGTAAAACACAGCAGGTGACGCTGTCCACGGGGTGAAACGTGCAGCCGCACGCCCAGGTTGCCTGTCTGAAGCACAGCCCAGGGGAGTGCGGCAGCATCCCGGCCCTACCACTGAAATCAGGGATTTACTGCGCTCCCCACACTCGGCCCGGTGGGTGATGTCACCCCAGACCCTCAAAATCCTTTGTTTTCCGGCAGCCTATGCAGCTGCTTCAGTTGAAGTGCAGTGACATCTTTTCTAAACACTGAAATGAGAGAAAGGGGAAAGAAAAGTCTCTAAACCCAACTTTTTGCCATTTAAACACAGCATTTACTGGACCATAGTGCTCATCTGGAAAGTTTTCAAAACCTTCTGTTATGACATGAAGTGTCCAACTGTTAAATCAATGTTTAGAAATGCAATTTAAAGCTGGCAGAGGTCTCGGTCTCCATGTCAGATAGATAAAGAGGAGCCTATATATCACTGCGAAAGAAGTCCTTATTCCTGCTCCAGTAGTTCAGGTTTTTTAAATAAAGGTTTAGCGTCATACAAAACTCTGCAGAAAGGTATCTAACATTACATCTTGGTAAATACAGCTCATCTATTTGTAGTTTAACCAAGAAAATCTTAACATTCCCTTTGTCTGGCTCCAAACCTTTTTAAATTTCCTTTCCTGTAATATTTAAATGAGAAAATTTACCATCTGTCCTGGCCTCTACCAAAATTAAATTTAAATATTTAAGGGTCTTCATGGCCAGTATTTTGGAATTGTAACAAGCCTCAATATCAAAAATCCAATTTTAAGTTCTGTTCATCACAGAAGCTAAAAAAAAAAAAAAAAAAAAAAAAAAAAAGCAGCCTGAATTTTCAGTGTTACTGCCAATGAACTGCACATTTGAAAACCAATATTTAGTGGCCAAAATTATTTCTAATTGTTGCTGCCTCTGTAGTCTTTTATGTCATCCTCATAACTTGACAGTCTAGAAATAGCAAAGATATCTCAGCAACTAAAATAACCCAGATCCCCAAGAGGTTAATGCTTCCAGTTAAAATTATCGCTTGAGTAATTCTGAGGAACGTTATCTGAGAAAATTATAATCTGATGTCAGTATCTGAAGAGGAAAAAAGAGGCAAAAATCATCATATTAGTCACTGGCTATGAGCAATCATCCACCCAAACTAAAATAATAGGCATTTCCAAATGCATCCTTAACTTCTTGCGTGGCTTTGGAGCCAATCTTTTCTCAGACTCTAGTGTCAGAGGAGAAATTGGATCCAAAGTTTCAGTTCATTTCTGAAATAGTAGCAAAGCCCACAGAGGATTACTGTGTCACCTCCTGCATCCGAGGTAGCTGAAAGCCAGTGTTTTGCTGCTGGTAGCACCCAGGACATCATGCAGAAGACTGAAGCTGCATGCCCTCAGGGCAGGGGGTAAGGGCTCCTGCTTCCTGGAGATGACTTCAAGTCATTCATGGAATAAATTTTTTTGATGGTTTGGTTAGGCAGCATCTGGGACCTGTCTGTGTTGCAAAATGTGATTTCTTGAAGGTGCTGTGTACAGATGTATAGAAGTTTTACTGTGGGATGGTATGGAGAGTCCGTTCTTGTCAGGTAATCTGCAGTCTGTTTATCCAGGTCACAGATTACTTTCATGGTGGAGAGATAGACACTGAAGTATCTCCATGCAGAAAGGGGAAGATTAAGTCATACAAGTTTGGGGCAACAGGGGAAGAACAAAGAGTGAGCACCACTCCCACAATTTTTATAAAAACAAGTATTAGGTGGAGGTTCACAATGATATAAATACGTTTTCACAGGAAAGTAAATTAATTGACAACATTTTCTGTTTATTATTGCAAATAATTAATTCTTACAAACAAATAATCATAAAAGATGTGGTCCCTTGAAATACACAAAGTATGCGGAGACCTGGGAGACGCCTCTATGGACCATTGGGTGAAGAGACTGGATCTGCCATGTGTGCTAGGGCTCTTTAACTTTTGGAAAGTATATCCTCCATCTAACCTATCTGGATTTCTACAAATCAGTGAAGATTTTAAAAAATTTCCTAGTCTAAAATATTTAAGTTTTTCTAACGTTTCGTGGTACCCCCAAGAAGTCACAATCAGAAGTCACTTAGCCAGTCCAGCCTACAAGCAGTGTGCTTTTCCCTGTGTCCCAGTACTGCACCTCAGCGATGTGAGCCCATGCGGGCTGAGATGCAAGACACTGACAAATTCTCTTTTCTGAGCATCCCAGTAAGCAAACCACTGTAAATCATCTCTGAGAGTAGCTCTGCTTGCTCTAGCACCCTCTCTATACTCACACCTCCTCTGCCATCTTCTTCACCCCCAAGCAACAAATCAACTTATGACAATCCTTAATGCTTATTCCTTTCATCCCAAAGGAGAAGCAAAGGGACCCACATGTAGGCAGATTCAGGCTATTGCTCAGAGTTGCTTTTTTGACTTGACTGTATTGCAATATACAGAGGCCATTTTACAAACATCTCTTTCTCTTTTTTTGTCCTTGTGCCCCAGGAATACACCAGAAAATGCCTAACTGTGATGGGAGGGCTCTGGGGCTCTCAAAATATAATCTGCATAAATCCAGTTTTCTAAAAGCACACTTCTTTTAAATATTAATGTGATTCAGCAGCATAGTAAACAGAGAGCAAGAGGGCAAAAAAACCCACAAAAACATGTTTTTGTGTTTTCAGGGCCATGTTCTCCTGTAGGATTTGTTTCCATAAATTTCTGGGCCACAAAACAGACTGTATTTTGCAAGGAAGGCTGCAAGTTACCAAGAGAGTTAATTGGTTTATGCTGTTTTAATAAGATCTCCTGGGAAACAGATTTAATAGTGAAGTGCCAGTATCACATAATAAAATATAGTTTATAGAGGATATTACGACGTAAGATACAGTGTGTCTAACTGGAAAGTATTTGCTCAACTTCCAGGGAACAATACCTAAATCTATTATGTTGGAAGCCTGGAAATAAGGCTGTGAGGCCACAGTAGTTAAAATGAAAACAAGTTAGTGATTTAGGTGGAAACCATCTGCCATGAGGGAATCCAGAGTTTTATTGAGGGAAGGTCACACAGAGACCTTCCTTTCAGAGAAGGGAATAAAAAGCTTCAATGCATAGTTTGCTACAAGTACTTGTCAAAGCAACCTCTCCCCTTTTCCCTTCCCGACCACAAGGTTTCCTGCAGGGAAGGTGTAAGGTAAGTAATGTCACAGGGAATTTACAAACCTGAACTTAGACCCCACGGTGTGGGGTCTGTGATCAAGGTGAAACAGCAGAGCTTACCACATTTTTCACTCATAGGTTGCGAGGTCGAAATCCTTGGAGTCAGACCAAGTTATTGTCGCGAGTACTTCAGCGTCCCAACAGACAAAAACTTTGCAGATGCCATCAGCGATGCTCTCGAGTCTTTGCGGTATGTCACTAGACTTCTGCAGTGTGGGGTTTTCTCTCAAGGATGAGTATTTGGGTTTACTATCAGCCTTGCCCTAGGGAGATCTTCAGGACTGGCTGCCAGGTAGGAAGATGGGGGCCAAGACTGCTTAATAGAACCACCATACAAGCATCACTGTAACAGAAATAGGCCCTCACATTAAGATCGGAGGAAAAGATGTGCTCCTCTTTTCACATGTAGGCTACAATACAGAGGAGACATCCTGACATACTTTTTTTAATTTGCTGTTTCACACAACTTCAAGATCAGTATGTGAGTGTCTGTTCACTGACCCACAAGAGCAGACTTTGAAATGCTTGGATGTAGAGAGAGCTCCTTGGAATTTGGAAATTCTGAAATTCAACTCCAGTCACTTGTTTACGAGACCAATGCTTTGTCTCCTCCTGGATTTTACAGCATTTTAGGCATGATGATTTTGGAACAGGCATTCATTTTTGTGTAAATATTGGAATGGAATGAAATGGAATAGAATTAGAACAGAATAGAACAGAATAGAACAGAATAGAATAGAATAGAATAGAAATAGAATAGAATAGAATAGAATAGAATAGAATAGAATAGAATAGAATAGAATAGAATAGAATAGAATAGAATAGAATAGAATAGAATAGAATAGAATAGAATAGAATAGAATAGAATAGAATAGAATAGAATAGAATAGAATAGAATAGAATAGAATGGAATGGAATAGAATAGAATCGTTTGGTGGGAAGGGACCTACAACAATCATCTAACCTAACTGATGGGAATGATGGGAATATATCTCTCAGACAACTCCTAGGGAAAACATATGCTCCACAGCCAGCTTTCCAGTTCCACCATCTCTCATCCAAACATTAACAAGGGGCAATTCCACATAGGTTGTAAAATCAGGGAAGATGGCACCACTGCATGTGGAGCCAGTGCCTTACCTTAGCTATAACTAAGCTTCCTCTTTTAAAACCTTGTTGGTTCCATAATGTATCCAATCATAGCATACACTTCTACTTTGCTGCTGCGAACTGCCATAGCAATTTAAATCTGAAAAGTTTCATATTCATATGCTGAGTGTTGTTTGTCCTTGAAATAAAGGCTTCAAAATGATGAGAGTGCTGCTGCAGATGTTGTTTCCAGTTGCTGGAGCCTGCTGCACAGACGCTCACAAATCACAGTGATGTTCACAGCATGGGGCTTAGAGACAAACTGTCTCAGAACATGTGAGACATTTGATGCTGGAATGACTTGGTTTAGATTTTAAGAAAGTTATTTGCATGTGACATGAGGAGGTCATATGTGCCATCGGAAGCTTTCTGGAGCTTCTGTGACACTTCAGTGTATAAAAAAGGAAATGGAAAACTGAATACAGACACCAGCTCTGACTCCTGGTAGAAACTCAGAATTACCATAGAAAGCTTTTTGGGCGGGTGTCATTTGTGTCATTCGGGGATGGGTCAAGATGTGTTTGAAGCTTCCTTCCTGGTTTCTATGAAGCAAGGTGCATAAAGCTGCTCAGAATGGTTTGCAGCTTTGTAACTGTGATCATGATTAAAAGCAAGGCACAAACTGTTAAAAGCTTCAAGCTGCTCTTTTGGGTAGCAGAAGCCCATTGAAAATGATTCAACAGCTAATTCACCCCGAGTCACAAGACTGCTTGCTGCTGCCTTTGGTGGAAAAGAAGAAAAGGGCAGGGACACAACAGTGTGGGTGGGGCAGCTCGCAAGACGTGAAAGGTGATGGGTCCAAGAACAAACCCCTGCCACCACGATGTCTGCAGTAAACACCAGCTACAGCCTGCTGAAGAGCCCAAATCCTACATATTGCCCTGGAGCTGTGGGGGGTCCAGTCTCTGAAGTCTATTTACATGCCATCCCACTTGAATTTCTGCCCGAGTTCCTTTTCTTTAAGTGCTCTGTCTGCAGCAAGGCAGGAAAGAGCGAAAAGGAACCATCATTGATAAAACTGATAATTGGTTGTGGGTATAAATACTGCAGGGACTTACAGTAAGAAAGGAGAGTAGAGAATAAACAGTTTAAAAATCAAGCAGGTTTTCCTTCTTCTTTCTCTTATTCGTTCTATTTGTTTAGTCCTTGAAAATTTAGCAAGAAATTTTCAGTGTTGCTGGGCCAGCCTTTAAGAAGTAAAGCCTCTGAAATGCCTTTATTGTAGGCCTATTCATTTAGCAGGAGTTAGCATCTCTGGGTAGAAGAGCCTTGAGCTGGGTTTTATTGTCATCTACGTATTTTGCAAGAGCTTCTGACTCTTGAAGGTGTTCAAAGGCTGGCAAATCCAGTATGTTTTCTCGCCACACCCCAACTAATTGCAAAAGCCCATTAGGCTGAGGCTGGCACTAGCTATATGTGGGAAGACAGCCTGTGGCAAGGGCAGTCTGTCGCCTGGAGCAGTGCCTTGCTGGTTGCCCTAATGACAGGTATTAGTAGTTAATGAACAGCACTTATGCTCCCACCATTAGCAAACCTTATGGGGACTTCAGGGTAGGGAGAGTAAGCCCTTTACTGTGGCATGGTGGCCTATGGGTTAATTTGAGTTTGGTTACAGGAATGTCCTGACCCCTCTTAACTTCACCAGGGTCAAGGGGAGTTTTATCAATGTCCTCTGCAAGGGAGCCACTGAGCTCCTCTGGAAACCAAAGGAAACCATCCTTCAGGAATATTCCCCAGTCTCTTCGGACAGGTGCTTTGAGACCATTATTTAGACAAAAAATATTAAAAATTAAGTCAAGCACCTGTTTTTGCCAAATGAAACTAAAACCTCCCTGATGTCTTTTCCATTACTGTAATTTAAGGGCTGCTGTAATCTACCTACCTTCCTGGAAAGGTGTCATGAAGTTTGTGCAGCACTTGCAAAGTGTGTTGATAAAATATAAACTCCTTCTTTGGTATTGCCATCGATGCCATCCAGCTTTCTTCATCAAGATTTCCTTAGCCATCTCTTGAAAGTTACTGGTGATGGGAGAAGACAGGACTAACACACAGAAAGACAGGTTACTTCTCCTGTGCAAGCCATGATCAGAGATGCCTACGTTTCTTAGGAAAACAGGCAAAAAATGGAAACAAAGTCAAAGTCAGTCATGCAAGTTCTGAATGTGCTGTACCCAATCCTGCAGACTCCCAAGCATGCCGCATAACTGGAGCTGGTCCCATTGAAGTAATGTGCAAAGTTGAACATTCATCCTTACAGCACTGAGCCCTCACTGAGAAACCTCACCACAGCTGAAATAAGACCACTTATTTTATGGAATAAATCTCTTTCTTAGCTTCTATTGTGATCTAAATGATCATTTCATTACAGGTGAGAAGACACAAAGCAGTCTAAGTAGCTAATTAATACATGGAATGCAGCAGCAGAAAACTGTTTCAGTAGGTTCAGTGAATGTGTATGCAATATAGAAATTACAGGGTTAAATTTTAAAAATTAATTTATGCATAATACAGATGGAAAGTCATGGTTAAAATGAAATTGGAGGGAGGGAATGGCTGCTTCATTTGAAGGATTTTAAAATCATGGAGTGAGAAAGAACACTGTTCTGTAGGACCAGCAGTGCAGAAATTCCCACCACAGCAGAGACCTTCAGCTTCCTACAGGACTGCTCCTCTGAGACCTTCAGCAAATTTACAAATGCAAATGACAAAACCTAATTCATTCACTGAGTGCCTCACCTCAGATTTTTTTCTCCTCACTCATTACACCAGACTACTCAGGTGTCTTTAATCAAAGAAGCTAGACTTGTCAGGACATCACAGAAAGTCTTTTTGTAGGGATCTTCATCTGGATGAGGGCATGTATTATAGATGGCACACCCTGACATGTATTAAGCACAGTAGAAGAATACTGGGTTTGAACTTCATGAGCATAGATTTGCGATTTTATCCACACGAATGCTCTTAGGGAGCTTTACAGTGAACAGTAAAGTGGTCATGAAAACGTAAGTAAGCACTGATGTATGTGCAATCCCCACTAATTAGGCTGAGGGCATTCAGTGCAGAAATGTGTGATCAGCTAAACTTGTGCAACTCTGAAATTACCTTAGTTTTCCTTTGGTCATATTCCTGACTAAAAACCCCATCTAAAATCTCACCCCAATTCATACCACTCAGGATTTTGCAAGGTCATGGAAGAGCATGTCCTCAGTTGACCTCAGTGGTTTGGAAGAGCTCACGCAGGGGAAAGCCAGAAGTGCCAAACTTTAATTAAAGTACATTTAACTGGTAATTCCCACGATACTTTTAATAAGGGCATTCAGCACAGAAATTAGTATTTCTTCTGGGTCTTTCTTTGTCATTAAAGACCTCCTTCCTAATTTGAAGAGGTAGTAGAGGGCTGCTGCCAGGCCAGCCTGTGTTGGCACATGGCAGTCTCTACTTGGCATCTCTGAGGGGAGTCTCAAGCAAACTCAGGTGACACGGGGCATGAGTAACGAGCCCAGCCATGCGACAGCAGGTAGGAAAGCCCGGGCTGGAAGCAGAAAATGTTCCTCTGGGGTTTTGTGTCTCGATGTGCTGGTGAGGACCCTGACGCCAGCAGCCGGGAGGGGAGTGCGGGCGGGTGGTCCCCGTGTGCATCAGCCTCTCACTCCTTTCCCTCCTTCCAACCCCCAGCAACGGCAGCGCCGACATGGCCGCGGTGTACTACGAGCGCATTGACGTGGAAGGCCACCACTACGGCCCTTCGTCCAAGCAGCGGAAAAACGCTTTGAAGGAGGTGGACAAAGCCTTGAGCAACATGATCGCACTCATCAAGGTGAGCGGCATCCGAAAACCCAGCTCCTGGGTAAGCTTGGAAAAGGCTTTTGAAACTGCTCTTTGTGGCACGAATGAGAGCCTATTTAATACCTGTTAATTGGGTGCGTTGACTGTAAACTTTTATTTCCTGAGCAACACAGGCTACCAAAATCCCATGGAAGTCAAGTCACCATTCCCCTGATTTTTTATTTTTGTCAGTGGCATTATAATCCTCCTGGTGGATTATTATACTGATAGCCCCGGGAAGCCATAAACCAATATACATGTCGCTTTGTTTATAACTTATGTTGCTGGCTGGGCTTTATAGTAGGCAAACAAATCAATATCATCCGCTTTCTAAGGTTTGTGGAATCAGACAATTAACTTTTATAGCATTTTTTATGGCAGCATTCAGAACTCTGTACTTTAACCTTTGTTTTAAAAAACATTATCTAAATGATTTTGCAGTGAGAAAATGAGGATACCAAACTTTTGGGTAAATGTCAATTCTGTGAATATTTCTGACAATGATAAATGCTTGTTAGAGATTTTAATGTGTTTCAATGAGGTGAGGAGTATGAATTTCCAATTTCACTAAATTATAAAAGCTCTAATTCTAAGTGCTTGTGTTTGGGAGGGGAAGATAGAAACACCCCTGCCACATATGGTACCATGACAAAGTTGCTCTCCCCCAGGCGTTTTGGCCTACAGATGATGAACAGTTGGATAAAATCCTGTCTAAGACAAACTGGAGCAACTGGTTTATGGAACTGGGATGTAGTGTCTGATTATTTAGCAGGGGGTGGATTTATTTTGGCAAATCTCTCTTTTGAGCTAACTTCTCAGACCCTTCAGGGTGGCAAGTGAGAGTGGATATCCACCATTACAAGTGGTGGCAAAGCACACTGCAGAGTGTTTGTGACCGTGCTCCTTCTGGCCAACTTCTACTCAATCAGTGGAGGTTAAACGGGGATTAAAATTTGTTGGCGAGCAAAGCAAAACACTTTCCTGGCCGTAACAGGTTTCATACACTCACTTCACAGAGCATGGGCCTTCAGCATGACGTCAATGTCCTCCTCTTCTCCGATCATGGGATGACAGACATCTCTTGGGCAGACAAAGTGATTGAGCTGAAAAACTATATCAATATGAGTGATACCATACAAATGAAGGACCGAGGTCCTGTTGTGAGCCTCTGGCCAGTTCCAGAGAAGCACGCGGAGGTAAGTACAACTTACTCGTATTTATTTAGTTTTGTGTTTCCTTGTTTTTTATGACAAATGTGTCTTTTGTTTGCTCGTAACATCCAACTTCTGCTCTCAGAGATGTGTGTAAAAATCAGCCCGAGACTCTTACTGGGAGACAGACTTGGATCCTGTGACGCTCTTGTGATGCTGGTTTCTGAAGGAAAGTCACACGAGGCAAATTAAAAAGCATGAACTTTCACCATTACATGGCACAGATACATGCTTTCAAACCTCACTACTATGTGCTTCTGACAAATGGCTAAAAGATTTTAGCACAAAATAAGTTATTAGGATTTTATAGATATATATATTAGTCAATTTATTGACCCTCTAGCTAGAATTTTCAAATGATCTGGAGCAGGTCAGGCATTCATATTCCAGTAAACTCCCATAGAGTTTGAGGAATTAACTCCATTAGACTAGAATTACAAAAAATATGTATTTTTTTTTACAATAATCTCCTTTGAAAAAATGTGACGAATAAGCATGTTGGGTTGAATCAACCGTTAAAGCCCAAGGCCAGAACTGCAGGATTTCGAGGAACAAATTAAAACAATACTGAAAAAAATTTTGAAACCGCTTGAAAAGAATGAAAATGCACCATCTGTAACTAATAGACTAGTACATTATAGTTTAACCAGAAACCAATGCTTGAGAAGTCGTTATTACTGTTCTCAGAATATAGATGAGTGGGTATACAAAATGGGCAGTCTGTGCTCCAGGTGAGTAAGTTTGTTTTCTATTTTATATTTTATCCAGTTCCAGTATATTATAGCTTGTGCAATTTTTTAAAGATAATTATTTGCTAATTTTTGCACCCAAACAGGCTTCCCAGAAATTGTATAGCTGTGATATTGTGAATATTTCAAAGTAGTGCCAGAATTGAAAGTTGTCTTGGAGGCATGCATAAACAATTAATTCAAAGTTCCTGCAGGGAATCACAGCATTTATATATGCTCTCCTTGGCCTTAACTCAGACATTCATATTTTTTGTAGGCCAGACCTTCAAACAAGGGCAAGTATAAGTTGCAACTTCACACAGACATGGGGTTCCATCTGACAAAACTCTTAAGCAGATGTTTTTCTCTCATTAAACAGCCTAATTTCCCTAAGGAGAATAAAGTACCATGCCTCGTACCATGGTTTTGTTTTCTTCCTTCATTTCATTTTAGGACTTCTTACTGGAGTGCTACTTTTTAAAGCAAAATAAAGTTGATTTTCTGTTTCCCAGTAGCCAGGTTCCTCTATTCTTAATTCACTTTAAAGACCCATGTTTAGGAATGAGAATGTATCATAACGTAGTTGTTATCACCTTTAAGAGTTATCCCATTTTGAAGCACCAGAAGTATTGGTGAAACACCAGGTCCACTCTCTAGTCCAGGTCATGATGGGAGGGTCTGGCTGAGTTGTGCCGTCACACCCTGGTGCCATCCTTATGGCAACTGCATATCAATACAAATCTGTTGCACACATATACAGGCAAGGGGGACTTAGCTAAAACGCTAGTGAAGGACCTTTCATTCTTTACAGAGTCAAGCTATTTATTCCTGGAGATTATTTATATTTAAGCAAAAGAGTGTTACACACTCTGGGGACTCCAATAACCACCTTCTTTATAGCATATGACTATCTTCTTTAAGCATTTAAAATATTTTTCTGAATAATGTGGGGTTTAACCACATTTGTGTGATTATATTCCAGATGGTATGATTAATATTAATAAACCACTTGTACGGCATTGTGAAGCTTCAAAGCCGCAGGCATTGGCTGGCTAATCTCATGGCCTCCTTACGAAGCGGGTAGCTAAACACTATCAGTCCCTTTGACAGGGACTGACTGATTAAGTGTGAGAAACACCAGTGAGGTGACATTAATTGCTCACTCAAGAGCATGGAGGCAATGAGTGGCAGAGGTCAAAGGCAATATCCTTTTTTCCGCCTCTGTACTCAGCCCACATGGTGCCTTTGAGCATCTTTCAGTACTTCGCTTACTGTGTCCTGCGATGGTTTCTGCTGGTCTGTCTCTGTAGGTTGATATACTCACACGCCTACACTTGTGAGTGCGTGTATTATAAATATATAATATACATGAATTCATGTGTTCCTGTGTGTTTACCATCCAAACTTCTGGAACCTCCTAAACCACATAAGCAGGTTTTGCACAGTCATCATCTTAGAATCAGCAAAGTCCCAGTTTGAATGTGCAGATGATTAGCCATTAAAGGGGATTAGTAATTTTAAACATTCAGGTGTTCCTATGTACCCATAGGCGTATATATGCTCCTTACAGCCATATGGCATCCTAACGTTTGTTTTTTTTTGCAGATATATCAAAAACTGAAAGCTGTGGAACACATGCACGTTTATAACATACAGGACATTCCGGACAGGTTTTTCTACAAAAAAGGAAAATTTGTGTCTCCTCTAACTCTCGTGGCTGAGAAAGGATGGTTCATAGTAGAGGTAAAGTATAGAAGCAAAGTACTTAGACGTGAGTGTGAAAAGGTGCCATATATGAAAACAGTAAGAAATATGTACAATTCTATGCTGAGCATTGAGTTAAAGCGTTACATGATTTATTTGGGATGACTGCAAAACTAATGTCAAATGTTGCTGTGTGCCTAAAAGAATGTAAAGGCATGGCAGCTATGATGAAGGCAGACAAAGTTAAATAGTCAAGACTTCTTTTTTCTGTGTTGTCATAAAGCAGGAGGAGATTTTGTATTTCCCATTCCCATTCTGTTGTTTTATTCCTCTTCCCCTTGCCTGCCTACCTTCATCTCAGACACAAAAAGAGTATTTCCATTTCAAGCCCTTACTATCCCTCCATTCAACAGCACTTTGTGTCAACCTCTCCCTCTGCCTGGTTTCCCACCCATCAGACACTGTCCTAAAAATGCCCCGTTTCTCCCAAGCCTTCCAGTCTCAAAAGGGTCATACTGGGGGTTTGTTCCTCTGAGATACCCAGTGCACACACTGAAATCTGAGATTTTTTCATACAGACTTATTTTGCTACTATGAATTATTGTTGTTGTTATTATTTTGTACTTGTAGTATTACAGAGCATCTCCACATTACAGATATTAACTGCACCTCACCACAGCTCAGAGGGTGAGGCAACATATATATCTTCTAAGTGGGTAAACTGAGGAGCAGTACTAAGTGATTTGTCCAAGGTCATATATTAAATCAGTAAAGTGGCAACAGAACCAAGGAGTTCTGGGTTTTTTTCAGTGTCCCAGCATAGCCATTGCCCATCACTGCCTTGCAGATTATTGAAACTGAGTTGAGCATCTTCTTTCATGACCCTCAGAGCTACTGCTCACCAGGCTTTGCTCAAGGTGGTCCACACCATCACATTTCTCACTAGCCAACCTGACTTTAGGATAGCAATTTCTACAGCAGAATATAAATGCACCTCTAAAACAACCTGATTGCTTTTGAGTACGGAAGGGTGAGCACCACATTTCTGGTTAAAAAATAATGTAAAAAAGCCAGAGTTAAGATTCAGACTTGTAAAGTAGGAATCTGAAACATTTCTGCCAAAATTATTTTTAAAAAATTACAACTAAACTCTTTTGTACAGAAGTTGAACACAGAACATTTTTACATATTCTGTAAAAAAAATGCACTTTAAAAAAAATCATTGAAACTCTGACAAACCTTAATAACAGTGCAGCAAACACTGCTGCTATGGTAATTATTTCTGTCTCTCTGCCCATTCCTTCCCATTGTTTCTGATTTTCAAGAATGTCCTCTCATTAATGCTGTCAAATTTTCCTTCTACTCAGTACATTTTCATTATCTGTGAATCGGATGTGAAAATGAAAGTTTCCTGTCATATTTTTAAAGCAATAATTGAGCCTTCTATTATACTTCCTGCCCAAACCACCGAAGAGAGAATGTTCAGCTCTTCCCTATCATGCTAACGGGGTGTTTTAACTCTCTGTCAGCTAGTGGATAGCTATAAGCTGTTTGAAATAGGTTGGTTTTTGGTTTGGGTTTTTTTTTTTTTGGTTGTTGTTGTTTGGGTTTGTTTTTTTTTTTTTGAGAGAGAGATAAAGGGGATGTATCTGGAAAGTTTTGGGTTGGTTTTGGTTTTTGTTTTTTTGTTTTGTTTTTTTTTTCCCCAGCAGGGAGCATAGGAACAAAAGCCTGTCCACATTTCAGTTCAAGCAGGATGAAGAGGGATTTCACATGCCTCCAGCTGTTTTGAATCTGGTCTGCTAGTATTATCTTGTTCCCTCCCCATGAGTGAGTGGTCCCCATCCTTTGAGGAGAATTTCGCCTAGCTGCTCTCCTGGATGCAACAACGGCGTTAGCCCCCAGGGTTGCGTTCTCACCCTGTGCCCATCCCCATGTACTTCCCCAAGTTTTAGGGAGCAGTTGCTGTACAGCTTCTGAACATGCACGTGCGGGGAGCAGCCCAGCAGCAGCAGCCCCAGGCATGCCTGCTTCATCTGTGAGGAGCAGCGCTTGCCCAGGCTTAGGCTGAGCATGGAAAATTAATGTCCGGGTTGAGTTCTCTGTCCCATTTGGGTTCGCCAAGGCAGACACGTTGGGGATGCTGCCGGCGCCCTGGCCCCAGAGAAGCCCCAGGACTTTGTGGGGTTTGCTGTAAGCCTGGAAGGGCAGCGCTGAGGTGCTTGCACAGCCCTTTCCCTCCAGCTACTGCTGTTAATGGCTCCGTTTCATGAACTCTCACTTCAGCTGCAGCTGTGAAACAAAGTAATATGTTTTCTGACCCAACTAGCAGCAGAAATAATGGGAATGACCGTGCCTTTGACTGCACATCTGGCTGCAGGTCGGTATCTCCTGATGCCTGGGTGGGTGATGGAAAGGCACACTACCTCCTGCCTTTGACATTCCTGGGGAAGCAGCTGAGTCCACAACATCTGACAGGGCCGTGGAGGGGTGCAGCTTCGGCAGTGTCATGGTACTGCCAAAGAAACACTGCAAATTAGCTGTGACTTGGTTTGTCTGGAGCTGATGCTAACAAATACTGTACAGGCTGCCCAATGGTGAGCAGCCCTGTGACAATTAGTCACCGGGAACCGCCGTACACCGAGCCACAGCATAAGGAGGTGCTGTGGTAGGAAGAGGGGAAGGAGTCTGTTTTCTCCTTGGCTTGCTCTGAGCTCTGTCAGTGAAATAGATGGGGACAAGGAAAGAGATTTCATTTGTCAGCTAAAATTGTTTAATTATCTGGTACATCTGCTGACTATTATGTACAAAGAAACACAAGGGATACTCTGGGGGTTCCCCTGGAAAACAATCGGAAGAGCCACACCTCATAGCCATAATCATTCCTGTCCTCAGTGCTCCTGCACACAGTCAATTTTCTTCTGGGGCAGAGGAGTAAAATAAAAATCAGACAAAATAAATGCTTGTAAAAGGAAGGGGATCCTCAGTCAATCTGCTTTACCATCTGCAAGGGTTGCAGCATCACTCAGCCAGGGTGAGGATGTGGGACACTATGTTGGGGCGTCTTTTGTGCTCCTGTGATGAAGCCCAGACCTAGCCACTTTAGGGAACTGTAGTTCCTTCCCTGCAGCCATCAGAGAAATTAATGCCAGGGGCCTAACGAACTGTCAGCTGATGTTCTTTGTCTGAGTGAAATTCCTGCTGTAGTTTTAGGGATATGTGAAGTGTCACATGTGCTGCCATCCCTAGCGAGTATGGGACAAGAGACTGTCACGGAGAGGGTAGCTCCAGCATTTTGAGCAGTGCCTAGGGACTGCTGCTCCTGAGGGGGGGACGGGTGGGCAATAAATGGCACTGCTGCAGGTAGTCTGTTGAGAGCTGTTAATACAGAACAGGAGAAAGTAAGGAAGGAATTTAGAAGTACAACTTAGGTGCAATATGGGCAGGGAAAAGCAAGAATTATGACGACAAATTATTACAGCATGGATCCACTAAGCAGGGAGAGAAAACTGAGAGCGGTCTACGCCAGGGAGAGGGGGATTGTCTTAGGTCTGAGCCTGTGTTCCCTGGAAGGAACCTCGTTGCTTTAATACTAAAACAAGCACAGAGAATAAATAATAATCGTTAGAAAGTATACAGTAGGTATGATGTTTGTATTGTCTAGGCCGACTAGTCGAACAGAGCAAAAATGGCTTCTTTTTCAATGGTGCTAACGGCATGTCAGGCAGAACAACATACCATCAAATCCACAGGGGTGCATGGTGCTGGGTGGGAGCGTGGCACTGGAGGGGAGATCAGCGCTGCTAGCGGGCAGCAGGAGAGGGTCACCACCTTGCTTACGTGTCACGTATGGCTGTGATACTTTTTGCTCACGGCAGAAATTTGGATGAGTGAGAGGCCAAAAGTTGTCCTGCCCACGCAGCTGGGAGATGGCTAATTTGCTGAGAGACAGCAAAGCTGGGGGTCACCCCTCCTGGTGATGAGCCCCTGTGCAGCCGAAGGCACGGCACGGGGGCCTGATGGGGGGGGTACAGCACGTGGAGACAGAGCGTGGCACCCCTGGCACAGCCCGGCAGGCAGGCACTAACCGTGCTCTGCTGTTGTCACCCAGAGCAGGGACAAGCTGCCCTTCTGGGAGAACGGGACGGGGAGGAAGGAGGCCTGGCAGAACGGCTGGCATGGCTACGACAACGAGCTCATGGACATGAGAGCCTTCTTCATCGCATACGGGCCAGGTAGGGTGCCACCGCCCGCGGTGTCCCGCGCCCCGCACAGCCCCGCGGCCCCTGCAGCCCCTCGCACGCCAGGGCCCTGCCGTGGCACTTTGCAACGCCCAAAGATTACAAATAGATGGCAGGATTTCCTCACTGCAGCTGGATGCCGGGAAGGTTTCTAGCTCTGTATCTGTTTTATAGCTGTAGAAACAGAGCAGAGAGATGTGAAGGGATTTGGTCAGCCCCGCTCTGACATCCCAGTGCAGTAACTTTATCCCTTTGCCCTATTTTCCTCAATTTTGGCCTGAATTTTTAATTCCATTTGAAACACATGAATTATTCTGTTGATGGATTCGGACTCGCTAATGCAGAGCGCTTTCTTTGGGAAGGGTACAGCACACCTCACCCACCCGTCCCATGAGCAGACCCCTGGTTTTGGCTTCATCAGGCCCTTTAAACACTGCTGAGCACTAGGCTGCAACTGCAGACAGGAGAGAAAGCAAAGCAGAATGCGCAATACAATTATTTCAAGCTATTAAATCTACCAAGCACAAACAGTAAAGTAGCTCCTGTACTTAATGCATTTTTTTTTTTTTTTTAGTTTTTAGAATAAAATTGGACTAAAAGTAAAAATAATGAATAAAAATGTTTAAAATGTTTTTGCTGAGTGATGTAAATTGTATTGTGTGCCACATCCCAGCCTGCTGGGTAAGTCCTGGCAAAGGCAGAGGAGCCCTTGCCCCGCAGCGCCCCGCGTTTCAGGAGCAGAGCCCCAAGCCGTCCAACGCCAAATCCTCTCTTTTGCCCGTTTCCCCCTGCAGATTTCCGATCCAACTTCCGAGCGCCTCCCATCAGATCCGTGGACGTTTACAACATCATGTGCAGGCTGGCAGGAATACAGCCGCTGCCCAACAACGGCTCCTGGTCCAGGGTGGAGTGCATGCTCCGAAACACGGCCCCCGTGGCACCGCTCCCCCCGAGCAGCAGCTGGGCCCTGGCGCTGGCTCTGCTCTCCCTGTTCGCCGAGCAGATCTCCTTACTGTGATCCCCAAACAATGTCGGTCAGTGTCACCAGCAACTCCATCCTTCTCTTTTAAAGTTCTTCGTTTGAATAATAGCTTCGTTATTGTGCTGTCCCACACTCCTCCGCCGATCCTCACCAGACGTGAATCCGACCCGTCCTGCGCTTACAGTGGTTATAACGTGAAGCCAGGTTTTGTGCTGCTCTAACCACAGCCAGGAAGGTCGGTGTCACTACCCTAGATTTACAACACTGGCAATGAGAGCGGAATCTCAACTGGCTATCCACAAAATTCTCTGGTGGGTGCACGTGGCGGTCTCTGAGCATCAAACACATCTTACCCCACTGAGAGGCTCACCCTGGCTCCTGGCACCGAGAAGCTCAGGGGTGGAGATGGACCTCTGTGCATTTAACTGGTTTCTTTCTGTTTCAGTCCTTCATCTCCAGCTCTATCACCAGCAGAGCCCCGTCTTCTCCTTACAGTGCCAGCCAAGCCCTGTCTATACCGACCCGTTCTTCAGAGCCAAGCGCTTTGCTGAGTGATTATAAATGCTGAGAGAGGTGGATCGGCTGGGAGAGCAGGGAGAGCATCCTACTTCTCTCAGCCTTTCCTTCTTCATTTTCCGAAAGGGAGCCCTGGTCCTGCATGCCCTCAGGCCGGGCTTTCCTCACCCATCACAGTGCTGGGGGCAGGGCTGGGAAAGGGGAGAGTGATGGAAATCCTCCACTTCAGTAACAGAAGGAAAGTGAAAAGGCATTGGGATGCACAGGGGTCAGGAGAAAATTGGATGAGGAAGCCTGGCATTTTACAGCCTCTCTGCTTTCCCTGGTAAAGATAATACCATCTACTCAGGTTTTGGGTTTTTGTACCCAATTGCATTTCTGAAGGTTTTTCAACACTTACTGCTTTTCTACCAGGTCTTGCCCTCCACATCTCAGCTCAGTGAGCAACACACCCCGCTTTATTCTGCAGCAGGGAGAGAGGTCTACACTGATGGCTCTCCCACCCTTTCAGTTAATCCTAGCCAAGATTTCCACCATGGGCTATTAAGCCCAAAGAAATTTGTAATGGCAAAGTAAAATAACAGGAGAGGATAGAGCTGTTGTCGGAGGTGCCTTCAGGAGTGCTCAGCGCTTTTTCTGATATACCTCTGAACCAGGAGCTTTCAGTGACAAACTGCCTTTGGAAGGATTTAGGTCTCTCCCTGTGCAAAATAAAGCTCTAGGACTTACTTTCCCTACGGATCCAGAGTCAAGCACGATCCTGTGATACGTATGGTACAGTGAGTTTAAGGGTGAATGATTACACCGTGAAAAAAACCCCAAACACCAAATTAAACTTGACAAAAGACTTCTGTAATAGCCGTAAAGATTTATGTAATGTGTTTTTAAAGCTCAAGTGAACCATCAAATCAATTGGGGAAAAAAAGAGAGAAAATCAGTCTTTGTTATTAGACTGTTGAGTATAAAAGGCAATTTAGTGCTTTCGAAGCATTTGCAGTGGCTGTAAAACAAGCACCTATTGTTCAGAGTTCCCTGTTGCTCTTTAATGGACCAGGCTCCATGAATTCACTGGAGCACATTTTTAAAGCGAAAAAATTATCAGTATACAAGATAAGCAAATGACTAAATTACCAAGTTTTGTTTGAAAATCAGCAGGATAGATACAGGCAGTGCCTGCTAATCCCTTCACAGCCTGCCGTTTTAACTCTTACAATGAACAGAACCCAAGGTCTTACCGAAGAAAAGATTCTAAAATTATAAGGATGTATTCAGCTTCTCAATTATTATACAAGCAGAAATTGGAAATAACAAATGAGGCCCACTGAGTTGTTCCAGGGATGGACGATGACACATGAAACCAACGTTGATCCTTGTGAGTACTTTGTGTAACTCATTTCTGTCAGTGTCCACATGCAAATACTGCAGAGTAAATCTTCTAATTGCAATATGATTTGTTTGACCTTAATGCAAGCACTGTGTGTACGGCAATACACCTCAAGAGATACTTGATCTGTAAAAGGGAAATTTGACAGTAGACCTACAAGAAGCTCATTAGCTTCAGGAGAACTACCACTGATTATTTTTTGAGAAGTGCATCTTTCTTCCTCAGAAATGTTGTACCTCTGAATCAGTTCACATTCTCATTTAAAAATCAAGTGTCTTGACTCTTGCCTATTTTTCTGTATACTATGCAATGGAGGTGGGTGTATTTTTAAAACCTATTTCTGAATGATGTTTTTATACAATGACTGATTGTGAATGAGTGAATAATTCCAAAAATGGTGTTAGAAAAAAAAAATACATCTTTTTGTAAATATTGTAAGATTTTTGAACAAAACAATGAAAAAAAGCCACCCCTGTAACACCTTGCCTTTCACGTTTGATTGCTGCATCAAAGTGTGATAAACAGTGTTTGAAGCTTGTGCTGATTAATCGTCAGAAAGATGAATGATAACATTGTTTAAAAATGGCAAAGTTGTCAGCATGTAAATTAGGGACATTAAATACATCACACGAGATACTGTAGGCTGTATACGCAGTCCTTTTTTCCAGATGTATTTCAGTATTTAACCTTTTGAACATCCATCCAGGGACATGCAATTCACACTAGCAAGTGGACGTGACAAACCATTTTGCTCTCCTAGGAAGAGAGGTGAGCCCTGGATGCTCTGTCCAGACCCACTTTTCCAACCCCCACCACGTTACCATCACATTCAGCTGCTTGCACAGAAATCAGAGGCGCATTGTCACCGATACCAGGGTTCAGCTGGCTTGGGCTTTCCGGAGCCCTCACGATACGGCCCACTTCCCAGCACAGGACAGTGCAAATGGCAGCAAGAGCTCAAAAACCAACACCAAGGGCCTCAAGGACAAGGGGCCCTATTCCTGCCCGAAGCTCCACAAACCAACAACGGTGTTGACAGAAGAGACTGAATTAGTAGAAATAAGTCCCCAAAATTACTCAGTGGAATTTATCTTGTTTTCCTTACGTGAACTGATGACAGGTGCAGGGAAGGGACGATGGAGGAGAAGCAGTGCAGGTATATCAGTGAGTCCTTTCATTGGCAGCAGGGCTCCCTTTGAACTGGCAGCACTGCCAGGGTCTGCCCAGAGATGCTCCCCTCACATCCCATGAACATGGGTCCCGCAAACAGGAGGATGCCGAGGGACTGCCTGCACGGGGACAGTGCGGGAATCGGTCTCGGTCAGCTCCCCGTAGCGGTGCCAAAAACGGCAATTTCCCACCTAAATAAACTGATCCCTTTTTTTTTTTTATCAGTGATCCTGGAGGCTGTGTAAATGGCATGGCTGGCCAGGGCTTGGCGGATGAGCCGTCCCTCCAGCATCCCTCGGGATGCAGCCTGCACTTCCCACACAGGCTGCAGCCTCGCGGGGACACCTTCCCGTCGGCCCGGACGCTGGTCACGGCCCTCCGCAGGGCTTCACAGCTAAGGGGTGAATTAAAAGATTTTGTGCTGCTGGCCACCTTCCTTGCCTCCTAACTGCTCAGTAGAAGTTAAAACATCTGTCAGACATTAAAACTCCACACCTCAGGGGGAGACGCAGACCGAATGAGCTCTGGGCACTGGGAAGTGAAAGGCACTGGAAAAGCTCCATGTAACATTTCCCCCACCTCCTTTTCCCTGTAAGGCTGTGGCAGAGGGGGCAGGCGGCTGCAAATCCAATAGGAATTTTTTAAGAAAACATGGCCTGATGAAGGGAAAAGTTTGAAAGCCTCCATTTTAGCATGATGAGTCATTAATAGCTGTTTTGAAAGACAACTTTCACCTACATGATAAACATTTTTTGTATAGGTACTGAAACACATATATGTTAAGGGAAGGTTATTGTGGCGTGCTCAAAACTAAGAACATTTCAGAACTACAGTTGACTGGCCATCGTAATTCTCAAGCTTCGTACAGATGTCTATAGCTGTATAGATTATTCTGATAGAATCTGAATTATATGGATGCCACTACAGACTTGCAAGCTGGTATAACATTATCCCAAACCTGGCAGGCCTCTATCAATCCTACCGTTTCCCCTCTACCAGCCCAATTTCATCAGAAAATCACCATGACCTGCCCACAGCCCTGCCCTGCTCCCTCCCTAACCCTGCCCGGTACCTGTCTGGTGGCTCCCCCAGTGCGAGGGGAGCACCTCGAAGCCACGCAGCCCACACCGCCCGTTCCCACGGCTTCTGCCGCTTTCCCGGCTCACTGGGAAGTGCCACCCCCTGGGCGCGCAGATAAGCTCCCGCTTCAGGGTGGAAGACATCAATCAGCACCAGCATGGAAATATCAGTATTTTCTCTGTGGGCCAGGCGGGCTGAGGAGCTGAGGCGGCAGCTCAGCCCTCGGCGAGGAGAGGCCTTACGGCACGCAGAAGCGGAGATCTCCCCACATGCTGCTTTTACAGCCTTGTTTGCCCCTTTTTTTTTTTTTTTTTTTTTTTTCATTTTTGTGCTGACAGCCAGCAAGGTATCGGCTGCAAAGGCTGCAGCCTCCCAAGTCGTGGCTGGGGTTGCCAGGGCGGAGGGGGGAGCCCCCGGTTGGGATGGGGGGCTCTTGGCAGGGACCCCAGTGTGCCTGGGAGCAGAGGAGAGGCGGGAAGCGCGACCTGCCTGCAGAACCATGGGGTAACTTAAGCAGGCAGTGCTGGGGTGGAAGAAATCTGTGAATTTGAGGCAGGAGGGCTGTAGAGAGCAAAGTAAGAACTGGGACTTTTCTTTCATTCTGTGTTTCTCCTTGCATTTTTTCCTCTTTCTCCCCTTTAATCCTCTTTCTGTTACCCTTTACTCTATGGCTGATTCTTCCTCCTGCACCACGAAGACCCCCTCCTCCCCCAAACCTGCTGCCTCCATGTAGTTTCTTAAGAAAGCCTCCTGCCCTTCCTCCTGCCTGCTCCTGCCCTAATGGCAGAAGGAGGATGAGTAGCCTCAGAGAGGCATGCATGTTTCCATGGCCCTTAATGATCCTTGACAGGAATCAGCTGGATCTATTTCCAAATACAGACGACTTGGGCTGCATCTAGAGCTGCTTTTGTTGTTATTAAAGCCTGATCCCACTAATGTGAAACAAAATACATGTGGAGAAGAGGGGAGCAGAGGGCAGAAGGGATGAGCAATTCATCTCCTTGCTCTGTTCCTTGTTCTCACTCACAGCTTTGCTCTAGGTTAAATGCAGGACCCTCCGGTTAGGCAGTCCCAGTAGTGCTGCTCAGGAGGACTCTCAGCCTTCATCAGCTCAGGGGTCTCTGACTAAAGCAACAAAAGACAGCAAGGAAACAGTGAGGAGGGCTGAGGAGAGTGGGCTGAGGTGAGGGGGAGATGTGGTCCCAACCTCCCGCCTCAGCACAGATCAGGGCTTAGCTGGGCTCCGGGGAGCTCGTTTCATTCCTCCCTTGTCTGCAGCAAAAGAAGCATTTTAATATCAGGATTGTAGCAGCCTTTGGGAGCCTTTGCTGGCATGTGCACAGGTGATTTCCCCGTGTTCCACACCGAGGGTCACGGGCAGCTGGCTCCCAAACATCAGCATCCTCCACTAGGACTGCATGGGCATCTCCCACATGGCTGATTTTCCATGATTGTGGAAATGGGCACAGATGGCTCTTGAGCAGCTTTCTGTTGCTCTCAGGAAATTAAGAATACATTAAAACTTTACTCAGCACTTACATATATCACTTGGTGAATATTAAGACTCAAAATCAGCTGGAGACACTGGCATTACTTCCTTGCCGGACAGAAAAAGGGAGTTCAAGGCGGTACTGGCTGTTGCAAAGGCTGCGGAGCACAGGCAGGGCTTGTGGGGGGATCAGCCCAGCCACAATTTTTAAAAAGTGTTTATTTGCCTGTCCATGTATCCATCCATCCATCCATCCATCCATCCATCCATCCATCCATCCATCCATCCATCCATCCATCTATCTGTAAATCTCTCTCTCCTTTACTACTCCTTCCATGTCTTCCTCAAATTGGTGGGAATTTTGGGGGGCAAGATTTTGTTTCTGTGTTTGCCAGGGTAGGTAGTACCATGGTTTCTAGCTTGCAGCTTACTGATTGTCCCCAGGGATCCGAGGGGTGGGAGAGGGGTAGCCCCAGCCAGCCACGTCCCACACCTCGCACACATCTGGGCTGAGAAGATGCTGTAAGTGAGAGGGGAAGGCACCCCTTGCTCAACCATGGAGGGCTTCTTCAAGCATGGATGTAATAAGGAAATTGCTTTGGTCTTAAAAATAAGGTTTTAAAGCAGCATTCCCGTAGCAGCTGTGAAGGAGAAAAAAAAAAAAAAAAAAAGCTTAATATTTTTTATGATGGAGTTCAAGCAGTTTATGAGCTGGATTAAATAACCTGCTTGCTTATACTGCTGCAGGGGCTGAATGGGATGACCTGGAACATCCCCTCCTGCCCTAATCTCAAATGTTTCCTTATAAGAACAGTTTCGACAAAGAAAAATAACTTTTTTTATCCCCTCTAAACAGAATAAACTTGAGACAGCCCCTGGCTTTCTACTTGAGAGAGCCCCCAGCTTTCTTTGCATTTCATACAGCCTCTTTCTGCAAGGACAAATGAGATGAACAAATGCAAGTCCCACTGACAAGAAGATATTTAATATCCATGATGTGGGGAACTTTCCAGCAAAAGACAGACTCAGTTTTATGCAGAAATAGCTGAATGCAGCCTGTAAAGGCCCAGCAATTAATCACGTATTTGAAGAAATACAACACAGTCATAGAAGCTGAATTTTAAATGCTTGCTGCTCCAGTTTAGACAGTGACAAATTAAGGTCCATACAAAAGCAGGTGTGGCTCTTGAAGAAGCCCTTTGAGAGCAATTAAAAATGGGAAACCAGCTGATAAGTGTGCAGATGTGACAGCTAGAGCAGCTTAAGAAATTAATTCAGAGGAAGAGGATGGTGTAGGAGCTGAGGCGAATGAAACAGGACCTGCTCTCTGAAGGGGGTTGCTCCGTGGCAGGTGAAGTGCCTCGTCATGTGGGATGGGCAAAGCTGTGACAGCCACGTGTCGACACTCTCCTGGAGAGCTGCCCACATCTGCCACAGACAGGCTCCAAATGAAGCCCCCACCAAAAGACCTCCAACTGCAGAAGCTGCTGCCCTGCACGTCCCAGAGCTTCCCCTGGTGCCCAGGGGAGAGCTGTGCTCGGGGGTGTCTGAAGCCGATGGCCTGAGCACCTCCGAAAATGTCTTCAGTACCCCACGATAGAAAAGGCAAGGGGCTGAGATCGAGGGTGGTTTTTCCCAAATCAGCTCCAACGAGAGCCAGGTCTGCTCAGATCCAACAGGCAATATCCAGCCAGGTTTCACCTATGGTGCTTCATTGTTTCTGATCAATTCACCATCTCCAGTGTTCACTGTTCTGAAACAGTCAAGAAAATGGTTATTTTTCCCATTGAAAGCACATAAAATAATTCAGATACATGTCAAATTATGAAGGATTTGTAATTTGCCATTAGGGTTACCATTCAGGAAGTGTTAGCAGATTTATAAATAGTGCCATGAAAACAA